ACATCTCCATCGGGGAATCCATCCTGCTGTGTTATAATTGTTTTCTTGTCTGTGTCCACCTCTGCACTGCCTCCTTGAGGGAGGGAACCCTGAACTTATTTGATTTTTCAACAAAGTGTTTTTAAAATTGTTATCAAGAAGACTGCTAAAAATATATTGTCCTATAATCTTTACAAGTAAGGAGCCCGTTTGGGTTTTACATGTTTACACATAATGCATTTAAAACAATGATCTGTTCTGATCTTTTTTCAGCTCAGTTACACAGCTGTAGCAGCAAACTAGTTCTTTTATTGCAAATGTAATGAAAGTAGATCCATGTAAGTCACTGGAAGGTCACATGTCCCCAGACTGTCAGCTGTGAGAATTATATAATGGTCATGCAGTGCGACGTTAGAACTGTTAGAACTGCAGCCACAATCAGCAGGACGTTTAGATTATTGAATGAAAATGAGACTACTTTCTTTCAACAACNATCCCCCCTCCTGCCTCCCCAGCCCCCCCCAACCCCCTTGGCTGTGACCACGTTGCTGCCTCACCAGGCTGTGAGCTCCTTGAGCAGAGACCCCAGGCTGCCGTGGTGCTGAGTCCCCAGCATTGACGCCGCACCTGATCCACGTGACTGTTGCTGTGCCACTCTTCAATAAATACAGAGCGAATGGAAAACGCAGGTCTCCGCCTGGCACGTGTCCTCCCCACGGCACTCTGTCCCCCTCTGCAGTGGTCTCCCTGCATTTAGCGTGAGTGCATTTGCGTCTTGGAGTCCCGCGGGATGGTTTCTACTATGTCACTATCAGGCAAAGTGCCCAGCTACGTTCAGAAGGCACGTGGCCATGGGGACGGAAGCTCACAGACAGATGGTGGGAGTGCATTAACTGGGAGGCGTAGCCCAACTCTGAGTTATTTTGGGTTTGTTTCTTTTGCTTTTCAACTGTAGCTGTGAGCCTGCCGACATCTGTCCTCGGTCCTTGCTGCCTTGTCACAGGAGCTTTGCGCTCAGTCGTGGCTGGCTCTGGTGGTCACAGCAGACGCTTCTGGGGAATTTGGTCCCCTCCTTAGATGGGCAGAGTCTTCTTAAGGTCATAAAATGTGCTGTTGAAGTGAACAGGGTAACAGAAGCGAATCCATTTAAACCCTACCCGTGACACCCATCTCCATGCATAGCATGTGAAATCTG